GCTGCCTATTCTTGCTTCTCTCCCCCGGCCGCGGCTTCTTCCTTCGCGGCCTTCTTGGCCTTGCGGGCGGCCTTTCGTTCCTCGGCGAGCTTCTTCTTCTCCTCCTTGGTGRGCTTCTTCTTGAAGAGGCCCTCGRCGGTGGATTCTKGGAGGGCCTCCCYKGAAGGCCCGCCGCTCCCGGCCGGCCGCGGCTTGCGGGCCGGCGGAGCCGCCCCCAGCTCCAGGGCCTCGTCCATCCGGGCGGCGATCCCGAMRGACCCCCCCTCCCAGCCCAGCATCYTRGAGTCGCAAAAGATGCCCTCCGAGGGGTGGCCCCCCACGKTCGTCTTCTKGACCACCAMCGGCTCGCCCGACCCGTCCAGTACGGTGGACCCGACGGGGGCGACCGCGAGRCGGGAGCCCTCCCGGACGTTCGGGGCCACCGTGGCGACCYTRATCGTGGCTCCCGGACCGCCGCCGGCGTCGACCTCGCAGATCTTGAGGGTCTTTGTTCCCTTTCCGCCCGATTCCTCCAGGCTCAGGACCTTGCAGACCTTGTAGCTCGAGATCCAGTCGGAAACCACCATCTTGTGTTCTTTTTGTTTCTTGTTGGTTGGTTGGTTTGTTTGGTTGTCGCTCTTTGCTTGGCTCGGTCGGTTGTCCCTAGGTGCAGAGTCGCAGATCGCTGTGGTTCTCGCATGGCACACRCGATGCTTGTTTGTTTCCTACCGGGAAAAGGAATGGAATGCGTTTCGTTCGGGTGCTTTATGGTCTGTCCATCATCCGATGCTCCAGTGATGAGAGGCAGAGTGAAGCCGCGCTCGGGTCGAAGTATGGTACAAATACATATGGTACATAGATATGATCCATAGGTAATACTGTACCGCACCGGAAAGTAACTCGATCTTTTCCCGTTGTGAGCAACATGTATGTGTGTACCGGTAGGATGGGACAATCAAAACCAAAAAAGAAATGGAGAATTCGTTGCAAAGTATACGATTGCTCTTTAGTGCCGTATAATTACGTGTTTACAATAAAGAGTGAGTGGAGGTGGTGAGTTACTCCCTATTCACTCGTGATTTAAGTGTTCTACGTGTATTAGGCTCACACCCACCCGCACTTGCAGAATCTAAAGAATCGAGTGAGTCAAGAATGAGATCTTGGAGAGGATTTAGATTGCAAGTGGAACAGCATGTTGTATGGTGTATAACTTTAGTATTTTGGTGGTCCTGGAAACCTGCTGTATCCTCAATATTTGCGGGTTGTTGTGTGTCTGACACGTAGGAGTCGTCAAAGTGCGTATAACGGGGTTGAACTCGTCCCATGAAGATATCTGTGTGTTCATAGAATTTGGTTCGGCCCGTCGGTTTGCTCAGTGAGTCGCTGTAATTTTCATCTGACCGTGTTTTAACGAATTGTATGTGTTCATCATCAGTCCATTGTAATATAACAAAGTGCTTCATTTCYACATGTCGTGTACGACGTGTAGGTTGGTGTGCATTCGCCATTCTTATGGCTCCATGATTATCCGCTAGAATTGGTGTTGGTTGTGTTTGTGGGAGCTGTAGTTCCTGGAGAATCCACCGGAGGTATAGTGCAGCCTTTCCCGCATCTGCCATGTTAGTGAATTCTGCTTCGGTGGAGCTTTGAGCAATGGTTGGTTGCAGTCTTGTTCTGTAATAGACCGCTGCTCCTGCTAACATCATTATTACACCACCCATGGATCGTCGTTGCAGTCTGTCAGAGGCCCAAGTTGTGTCGCAGGATCCATGAATGAGTAGGGGATCCGGTGTCTGATAGAATTTGTGGAGGTTGGGAGCTCTGGAGTACGGAGTGGGAGCATTCATTACAGGGAGGTCCATCCGTGGTTCAGGGCGCCAATATGTGAGGCCTTCTGTCTTAGTGGCAAGGAGATAAAGGAACAGGTGTTTTACAGCCTCGTAGTGTATCTTTGCGGGGCAGTGTGAGTGTTGGCTTAGTGTGATAACAGCTATAGAAATGTCTATTCGACAAATTGTAAGGGCATAGATCAGTTCTCCTATGCACTGTCGATAGTTGAATCCCTGGGATTGTTGTAAACGAATGGCTTCTAGGGGATCTGTTGGGCCTTTGCTAAGTTGGAGCTGTTTTTGGTATGAAGGGGAATCATTCATTGGAGTAGGGTGTTTACGGGTGGGTTTCGTGGAAGTCCAGCCGTGGTGAGCAGTGATCTTTTCAATATATGTGCTGCAGTGTAGGTGATTGTAATGCCGTGTTTGATCAACATGGATACCGTTGAATTTACGTATTGTGCCCAGTACATTGAGGGGGTTAGTCATTCTTTGTTGTATCTGGGCCCGTACCGCATCGCACGTGGAGGCTTTAGCGCTGGCAATGAGAAAATCATCCACTTGTCTAAGGACAAGAGTGAGGCCGTGGTCAGTGTGCTTAAAGTATAGGCATGGTTCATGGGTTGTTGGTTTGAATCCCAAGTCTGTAATTAGGATTTTCGATATATATTTGTCCCAGAGCCTGGGGGCTTCAGGATGGCCCTGTAGTGCTTTTCGGATGGGGATAACTGTGCCCTCTGGGATTGGGGCTTTGTGGAGGCATTCTGTCCACCATTGGTGGAAGGGTGCATCAACCTTCATGTAAAACGGTGATTTGGGAGCCGGGGCTTCTGCGAATGCATTGCCTACATCGTAGCCTATACAGATGAGATTTAACGCGGCTGCCAGGGCCCATGTGAGGCGGTGAATTGGCTGTTCCACACAGGCTGCATATGTCTCTGCAAGAGTAACTGCTTTTCCATAGCGTTTTCCACCGTTACAAGTGCCCCTCGATTTGGGCTCATTGATACCAGTGAGTGGGTTCTCTTTTTCAATATAGGTCCAGACCCAGGGGAGTACTGTCATATCTGTTGTGACAGGAACTGGATCACCAAACATTCCAACCTTGTGGTACCGGTTGAGTTGTTTCCATTCTGAGTGAAGGAAGCCATCCCATTGTGGTGTTTGCATGAGTTTTCGTCTGGTTAGTTTAGATATCTGGAGWCGTTCAGCTTGCATTTCTGGGGARTCTATAGGATGTGGCCAGGATGCTTTATTTTGCCACAGGTCTTGGTTGTGATTGATGTTGTGAAGGTGATGAGCAATCACATTGAGTTGGTCGGCCTGTAGTGTTGGTGTACCTTCTCCACTCATGGCAAAGCCTATGAGGGATCCAAACGTAAAGGTGATAGTGGATTGTCGATTGGTTTTAGCAGCTGCAATAGCATCAATGATGTCGTGGCGAGTGTGTATCGGAGTATCCCCTACTTTAGTAATGATGGTGCCTCGAAGGCGTCTCTTCCATCCACGGATCCGTGAGTGAGCAATAGAGCCTGGTTGTATAGATGATAGTTCGATGGCGTGTGTTATGTCAGGGTGACTGCTGACAATGAATCCCATGGTGGGGTGGATGGAGGGGACGTTATTAAGAGGGAGTGTGTGTGTTGTCTCATGCATATACATGTTAGTGGATATATCAAGGGTGGAAAGTTCTTGTTGAAGTAGTGTAAGATCAGGGCGTTCGAATTTAGTACGGTGGATTCGTGTTGCAGGAGACAGTTGTGCTGCCACTTTAGCTGCGGCCGCAGCTGTGTATGGGTGTGGTGAATCTTGTAGTATTTCCGCAATGATGTTGCCGGGGTCACGGTGTTGTGGGTCTTTTAGATGTATTTCCGTGGGGTCCGGGCCCTTGTTAGTGCTGTGGTTGTCATGATGGTCTTCACAAAACGTCTCCATGAGGTGAGCACCTGCGGGGGATCGTTGAGAGGGGTCTGCTCCATAGTGTAGTTCATCCTTAGAGTCGTGGCGGGCAGTTTTGTCCGTGTTTGTGTGGATATCGAAGTACTTGATATTGTCTGTGGTTCGGCCATAGCCCAGGAAGATACCATCATATGTCCATGGGTGTGTAGTGGTTGGTCTGTAGCCAGGGCGCTTGGCAGTAATCTTCGATCCAAAGGTAATGAGGCTGTCCATGAGTGGGATGGTGCCAGTATAGAGCTGGTATGGTGTCAGATCGATAGCCGAGTGGTAGGTTCGGTTATAGAGCCATGTTGCATGGAGGAGGGCATCTGTCCAGTATTCAGTGCCCAGACCTGCAGCATAAAGGAGGCATCGTATGCGTTCCTTTAGTGTTCTATGGGGGCGTTCGACTAGGCCATTTTGGGAGGATGCATCAGCGGCTGTAGTGATTGTTTCATAACCATGTTTGCTTGCAGTACTTGTAAACTTGGATGAGTTAGATAATTCACCACCACCATCTGTCATGATGGTGCAGTCGGTGTAGGCGGGGAGGAGGCCCACGAAGTGGTTGGTATCTTCGGGTGTGAGTGTGTAGGCATGTGCCTGGACGGAGTTCTTGAAGGTACGAGAGCGGGCAAGATATCCGTCATTGGTAGTGGTGACAATAGCCGAGTGGGGGTTGCTTTGTTTTATGCCGTGTTTGGTGAGGAAAGCTTCAACAATGTGAATGGGGGGTTCCTTGGATTTAATGGGGAATGTCCAGAGATAGCGTGTGGCCGCATCTATAATCGTGAGGAAACCAATGTGGCCCTGTCGGCTACGTTTGACGGTAGGGAGTGGTTTATCATTCTTGTGGAGAACACCCTGAAGGTTCGGTGGTCCGCTGACAAAAGAAAGATCCATGTGGAGTGTTTGCATGGGGATAATCTGTTCCTTTCCTGGTTTTGTTTTTCCTGTGTATTTGGTCATCTTGCTCTTTTCACAGAAAGGGCATCTAAAGTATGGTGTTGCAGTGGGGAGGGGGGGAATGCCTTCGACAACACGTTGTGTTTTAACGAGAGTAGATGGCGCTATATGTCCATAGCGTTGGTGCCATAGTTCTAGGTTCTTTAGTGCTTTGGAAAGGCCAGTAGACCATATCTTACCTTTGGTCTTACCGTGAGTTTCATTGTGGGAAAGCGAGTGGATTTGGGCGTGTTGCGATGAGTAATCGCGGAGCTCCTTCGCAATATGCTCCTCTTCCTTTGAGTTGGCAAGGAGGACTCTGTTTGTCGTATACCAAAGTCCATTGCGAGTCCGGATAGTTTGAATCGATTCAACTGTATTGCTTAGTTGGTTTATAAAGCGTACTGATCCTTTGCTGTTAGCATGTCCGTCCTGGATAAACCCGTAGAGTTTACGTGAGTTCTGGTAGTGATCAGGAGAAAGTACAGTTCCCGTGGAGTGGGGCGTATAGAGCGTTTTCCAACGCATCACTGTTCCTTGATCTGAGATCAGTTTAATATAGCCCTCGCCGAGTGCGCTAAGCGTGTGGTTATGTGAGGGATCAGTGGAGAATACACCAACTGATTCCGGGACTGCGTATGATGCGTAGCCATGTAGTATGTCCATTTGATTCGTGGCTGACATGTTTGCGCCTGAATCCGCTTGTAGTGGGCGTTGAACGGTTCGGTTGGCGTGGTGTGGGTTAATAAGTGATGTATCAGACTGTTTATTAACATTCCTGATAAATGTCATTGGTGTGTCTTTGGTGGCTATACATAGATGGCGTTTCATGTTCTTTCGACGTGTTGATGATGTCATCCTTATATACGGTTGGTGTGAGTCGTACTCAGAGGCAAGGGAGTCGGTATAGAAATCAAACGGGGTTAAGTCATTGCCTGTTAATGGGGGCGCAGCGCAATAAGTGTCAGGCGCGTCCGGCCTGTGTGTGCTGTTGGTTTTAGCGCATAGTGAGCATACAGTAGGTGTAACCGCAGCGTGAAGTGTGTACTTAATTGCACGTGGAGGGATCAGGTGTGACCAACGTTGCGTACAGAGTGTACTAGGTGCAGGTAATGGCGTTGAGTTAGTGTTGGGGCTCGTCGTAGGATTAGACGCCGTTTCAGTACTAGGTCCTTCCCAAAGCACGGGGGAACGTGTTGGTCCGGTTTTTCCTTGTCCCTCGATACCAGCCGTAAGTTTAGTATCACTGGAGCTGGTTGAGCTCATAACAGTAGTATTAGCGAGCTCCGGATGAATAGTCGTAACCATGGTGTTATCCGTGGTTAGTGGTAAGTTGTGTTGCTCTGGTGGGTCAGGTGTCTGTGTAGTTGATGGGTCGTAACGTGCGCGTCGTGATGCAATGATGAGATCCCGAAGTGTTGGGTCGTGCGGTGTCGGAGTCACTATATGGATGTTGTGTGTAAAGATATCATTGTCGTGTGAGTTAGTGCGTGGGCATGGGTGTCCTGTTGGGCCTAGGGGACCCGCCTGAAGGAGTGTGCTATCGTCATCTTTGTGAGGCCGAGCCCCGCTAAGAGCTCGGCGTGATTCCTATTCTTCGTCTGGGATGACTGCAAACAGTTGGGCTAGTTCTTCTCGTTCGGTCTCGTGTTCCGCCTGTGTGATCTTTCGACCATTGAGTTTGCTCTCAAAGTGGTTGACAACTGTGGCCGAGTGCATGTTGTTATATTTCAGAGCATTCGTGCGGAAGTGATCCGTGTTTTCTGTAGCGAATTTCTGGGTGTAATAGAGCTGGGCGCCAAATCTGCAGATTTGATCTCCGACGTTGTGGCCGTACGTATGACAGCATGTGCATTGAACCTTGTTCCTGTATTCAAATTTACTACGAGGTGTGTTGGTAACTTTCGTGACAATAGGGGTGGGGTTTGGTGAGGCTGGTGCTCGTTCGATGTTGGGGTTTTCAATGATGAATTGGATCATGGAGGTTAGTTGAAGGTGGGCCGGGACAGGCTTGTTCTTGGCATCTGGGGTAAGTCTGCTATGCAGGAGGAGTTGATTTAGGAGACACCATCCTGCTGTGTAGTTGTAATGTCTCATAGTTTGATACACTAATTCATGACTTTGTTCCAGGTCAGTGTAATAGTGTTGGTGGCTCAGTCGCTTGTGTTTCACAAACTCCTGAAGTTTTCCTACATATGTGCCTGGGTCATCCTGTGGTTCCCAGCGTGGGCCCCATCCATTCTGTGTTGGTCGGAGGTATGTCAGAGATTGTCTTGCCATGGCATACAGGGCATCGTAACCCTGGCTTTGTTGGGCATATGGGGCAATGAGACCATGGAGGAGGGAGTGGTCTTTAGAGAGAAGGCGCGTGAGTCTGCGATAGATGTATGTTCCTATTTTGCGAATATTGGCAGGGGACTCGTTGTGGTTAGGAGGGATACAGGATCCAAGCTTTGGTAGGTCATCCAGGGAGGCTAACGGGAGACTTTCAAGGCATAACATACTATGAAGGTCATTATAGAGGGCTGTGAATTCTGTGGACGTGAGGTATCGGTTTTCCTTCGGTAGGAGGTTGTGATCAAAGTCCTTGAAGTCCATTGCATGGAGGGCCTTGCTGATGCGGTGATTTTGTTTGTGGAGGAAGTCTTCATTGGCAAGGCGGTGTTGCCGTTGACTGTACTCAATAAAGTTAACATCGCTTTGACAGTATTTGGTTTGAGGAGGGGAATTGCCATCCGGATCCTCAATAGGATCGTCGATAAGGGGATTGGTCTTATTCGGATGGGCTTGTGGGGTACCGGGGTTCGCCAGTGGTACTGATCTTGTGTCTGTGTACCGTTGAGACTGTTGTGGTTTGTCCTTGGATGTGGTGTTGTAGTCTTGGTGGAGGGCCTTCTTAAGTTGATGTTGTAGGTCTTTGAACAATGGTGAGTCGGTCACATACTCGTTGATCTTGGAGTCTAAGTTGTGGCGGAATGTGGTAGAAGACAACATGGCGTCTAAAGAGTTCGTTATGTGGCTTGAGATTGACTCACTGACCGTGCTCGCTGTGTCAATATGTTTTTGAACAGAGTTTTCAATGTCCGAGGCCGCGATGGCCTTGACTACAGCGATATCATCATGAATTCTGGTTGTGGCCGTATCCAATTCTGCTGTGATATTCCTTTGGTGTTGATCCAGTTGAGCGGTGTGGCTGTTGCATATCTGGTTCAGATGGTTCTTCGTTTTGTTGAGGTCTACATGAACCTGCTTCAGAGTATCGGTTGCATGAGATGCAATCTCCCGTTTGGCTTGTTCAATGACAGTGTCTTTAAGGCTTTGAACAATCTGGTTCTTGTGCTCAAGCTTGTGTTCAATAACATTTTGGACTCTGTCTTCCATGATATCCTCCAGGAGTCGCGTCTGGGTCTCAATGGTCTGTTGGATTTGGTTCTCCATAGTGCGGCTGAATGCCATCAATTGGTTGGTGCTGTCTTCAATAACACTGTCAAGGCGTTCTTTGAGTTCCTTTTGATTGGGGAATGAGGGTGTTTTCGAGGTGATACTGCTGGCTTCATCTTTAAGGCTTTGTAAGTGGATTGTACTATCCTGTAGGGAGGCCAGTACATGGGATGCTTTGGTTGTTCTTCGATCCAGGGCCCATGTGGTAGTGGCCAGGGCCTCTATGTCCTGCTGGAGCTTGGTGTTGAGGGTCGTGGCATTATTAAGGGTTACCGTTTGTGCCTGTAGTCTTTCCTCAAGGGTCTTGACGATATCCAGGGCTGTACGGAGGTCGGTTTTGGTTGTTGCCAACTGTTGTTTGGTTTGGTCCAGCTCTTCCGTTGTGGAGTGTAATGTTTGTTCATAGCCTTGTTGTATGCCTATGATTCGGTTGTCAAGTTGTGAGAGGTGTTGTGTCCATTTGAGGTCATTAGCCTGTAGAGCTGCTGTAAATCGAGTCATATGATCGTCCCCATTGTTTTGCTGGGGTTGGAGTGTACTGGATTCGGCAGTGATGTTGGATTCAGCAGTGGTGGTATTGGTCGATATATCGAAACTGGTTCGGAGGGAGTTAAGAGCTGTATCGATTGGATTGGTGTATTCTTTGTCCAGTGTGGCGATCGTAGCGGACATGTTGTCCTCTTCACCTTCAGTGTCGTCTTGTTGTGGTTGGGCGTCTCTACGTTCGGCGGTGAATCGGTCAAGGAGGTCAGTCGGTGGGGGTCCGATTGAGTCGTCGTCACTGTGGTTGTGTTGTCTCATAGTAGTCTCATTGGGCTGTTCTACTGGGTTATTTGCTTCATTGTTGGGGTTCTCAGGGCTTGGTGCAAGATGCGAAGGTGGTCGTGAAAGTCTTCTTGCGGGGATTCTAGCCATGGGTGTGTCCTGATCTGGTGGGAGGATGTTGTCCATGTGTTCAATGAAGGCCTGACTGTATAGATATCTTAGGGTTCCCGTGGGGGAAGTAGTGGAGGGGATAAGGAAGTGGTTAGGGTGGATGAGTTCCGTTAGGATCTCCCCTAGTGCTACTATTTTATCTGTATCCGAGAGGGCCGTAGTGTGGATAGTATCGAGGTGGGTCGTATACGTGATTCTGGAGGGTGGGTATCTCGGTTTGAAGGGGAATAGTGCTGTGTTGTATATAGCCGTATCGGAGTGGAGGGGAAAGATTAGTTCCAGTACTCTGAGCTCACGTTGTATATTTCCATGATATGGGTTGAGCTCCAGGCGGTCTTTTCCTCCTTGGGTGTGGCGGTGGGATTTTGGTGTGTTGGTGAGGTATCGATCGATCGATGTACGATGTTTACTCCGGCGTTGCTGTTGTTGGGGATTGCGTTTGCGTTGCTGTTGTTTGCCGGGCATGGTGATGTTGTTGTGGTTGAAGTAGGTGTTCTTGGTTCGTTTCAGAGTACTATTTAGGTGGTGTTATGATGATGGAATAGTACTATTGCGAATATTCTTCAAGCGAAGGTGTACGGGTGGTGTTGACACCGGTGTTCTGGATTTACTCTACCGTAGGAATCTACGTGATTTAGTAGAGTATTCCACCGGAATTTTCGAGGATTCTTCCGGGTAAACGCTCAATTCGCAAAGTGTTGCAGTTACATTCCACGATTGAGGATAGGAGCTGTAAATCAGGCTGCTCGATGGGTGTTTGTTGCTGATGATGGGTAGATGAGCTGAGGTATGTTGTTTGTTGCTCATAACCTGC